AATAAAGACCCAGCTCCCTTCTGAAGATATGTGCAAGATACGGAAATTAAATAATGGCAAATTTAACTTTGCGGACATCAAACAAAATTGGTTGTGTTTTATTCCAGGCATGTAAAAACAGTAAGATCACAAACTCTCTTAGTGCCATTCAGGTTAAAAGAGAAAAACTATGTGACCATCTTAATGGTCTGAGAAAAAACACCCAATACAAATCATAGTCACTCTTGAGTTTAAAACACTCTAACAAACTAGAATTAAAAAGTAACTTTCCGGGGCACCTGGGTGGCTCAGTCATTAGGCGTCTGCCTTTGGCTCAGGTCATGATCCCAGGGTCCTGGGATCGAGCCCTGCATCGAGCCCTGCATCGAGCCCCGCATCGAGCCCCGCATCGAACTCCGCTTCGAGCTCTGCATTGGGCTCCCTGCTCCACAGGAAGCCTGCTGCTCCCTCTCCTACTCCCCCTGCATGTGTTCCCTCTCTCACTGTGTCTTTTTCTGTCAAATAAATAAATAAAATCTTTTTAAAAAATTAAGAAAAAAAAAACTTTCCAGGGCACCAGGGTGATTTAGTTGGTTGAGCATCTGACTTGGGATCAGGTAATGATCCCAAGGTCCTGGGATTGAACCCTGCGGTAGATGGGCTCCCTGCTTACTTGGGGGGGGCGGTCAGGGGGGAGTCTGCTTCTTCCTCTCCCTCTGCCCCTCCCCCTTTTATGCTCTCTCTCTCTCAAATAAATAAAATCTAAAAAAAAAAGTAACCTTCCTACCTGATAAACCGGATTCATCAAAAGCCTACCATTAATATATTTAATAGTGACATTTTGCGAAGAATTGTAATAAAGCCCTAGGGAAGGGGCACCTGGCTCGCTCTTTGGTGGAGCATGCACTGTTCATCTTGGGGTTGTGAGCTTGAGCCCCATGTTGGGTGTAGAGATTACTTTTAAAAAAAATCTTAAAAAAAAAAAAGCCCTCGGGAAGACAAAGATGGCCCCACTTCTGTTCAACCTTGTACTGAATACACTGAGGGCACATAGTGCCCACCTTTCACTCGACACTGTGCCAGGTGCAGGGTATACAAATATCATAGGATCTGACCAGCAGGGCAAAATGCAGGAACTCGTGGGCCCGATGCAGTCGGGGAGACAAGCAGGTAGAAACAGACCATGTAATAGGATGGAGCCATAGTGGGGTGGCGGGTAAGGTGCTGAGGGAGAGGAAGGAGGGGTACCCCACTCTCTCTGAGGGGGGCTAAGTTATAATTTTTAAAAAAAGTTAAAAACATGAGTATCACATATAAAATGACTATGTAGAAGTAATTTTTCCAACTTGCTAATTAATGAGGAAACCAAGAAGACGTTAAGACCAGCTGAAAAGAGAATGGGAAAATCAGCCACGTATGCAGGCAGTCAGGAATGCTAGAACGGGTTTGCTAATCGATGCCACACTGCTCAGTGTCCTACGGAGCACTAACACAGAATGTTTGACATCATTTTCTCCTGAGGACAGACACCAGTTGTATCTTTGGGGGACAAAATCCATTTGCGTTGTTATGGACAAAAATTATTTCGGTTTTCTACAACTTAACACCCCCCCCCCACTCGAAGCTGTAAAGTAGCCTTGTGTACACCCTCCTCCAGAGCCAGGCGAGCCCTGGGGAGGGGGCTATGCCCACACCCTATTGAAAGTGTGCTCATATCCTTCTGCCCATTTTCAAGGGGACAATCCCTCTGGGCAGGGGACCCTGTCGGTCCGTTCACACCTGCAAGACCACCTTAGAGCACCTCAATTTAGCACAGTAGAATGACCCAGAGCTTTTACTTTTTATTTTTTTAAGATTTTACTTATTTATTTGACAGAGAGAGAGAGTTCGAGCACAAGCAGGGGGAGCGGCACGCAGAGGGAGAGGGAGGAGCAGGGAGCCCGATGTGGGGCTCTATCCCAGGACCCTGTGATCATGACTTGAGCTGAAGGCAGATGCTTAACAACTGAGCCACCCAGGCAACCCCGTGAAAGGGGAGCTTTTAAACATCTTGATTCCCAGGCCACACCCCAGACCCATAAAATCAGTATTTCGGCGGGGGAGGGGGGGGATACAGGGGAAGTCCCTGGTGTCAGGCTCTTTAAAGCTCCTAGGTGATTCTGATGTGCTTCCAAAGTTAAGAACTGCTACTCTGAAGACATCCAAGCAAGAGCAGTTGGCCGGCTCCACTCTCCTCCCCTCCCACTCTCCACTTACCCCTCCCGCTCCTCTCTTCCCCATCCCTCCTCTCCTCTCCTCTCCTCTCCTCTCTTCCCCATCCCTCCTCTCCTCTCCTCTCCTCTCCCCTCCCCTCCTCTCCTCTCCTCTCCCATTTTCAAGGGGACAATCCCTCTGGGCAGGGGACTCTCCTCTCCTCTCCTCTCCTCTTCCCTCCCCTCCCCTCCTCTCCTCTCCCATTTTCAAGGGGACAATCCCTCTGGGCAGGGGACTCTCCTCTCCTCTCCTCTCCTCTCCTCCCCTCTCCTCTCCTCTCCTCCCCTCTCCTCTCCTCTCCTCTCCTCTCTTCCCCATCCCTCCTCTCCTCTCCCCTCCCCTCCCCTCCTCTCCTCTCCCATTTTCAAGGGGACATTCCCTCTGGGCAGGGGACTCTCCTCTCCTCTCCTCTCCTCTCCTCTCCTCTCCTCTCCTCTCCCTCCCAGGCCCAGCCTGGTTTCCATGGTGCCTCTGGGGGGGCAGGGGGTGTCCTGAAACTTGCCTACTTTTGTGCAGAAAACACCAAGTGGGGGCAGCCCAGGACAACCCCCTTCCATCCCCACCCTGGGGGATGGTCCAGGATGACGGTATCTTTTGCAAATGTTTTCCTCCAACACCCAGAAGGAACCCACAGCTTGAGAGCAGCAAATGAGAAGAAATCTATCACCCTCAGGAAGTTGGTTCCGGCGGCCTTGCAGAGCGACAGTAATCAGAAGCCCTTGGAGTGCCCGGCTAAATAAAAAGGTTTAAAACTAATGCACCAGCTGCTGCAGGAAAACGTGTAACTCCCAGATGGGTGGGCTGTGGGGCTGCCCTTATCTGCTAGGCAAGGGCATAAATCTGGGCACACAGGGGCGCCCCACCTCCCACTGGCTCCTTTCACAGAGCAAATCTGCTCTCAGCCTCCAGAACATGTTTTCAGCCTGAGAAGAGCTGCAAAGCCAGGGCAGGATGCCCACCTCCTCAGAAAGGGGGTGTGCGGGGGAGGGGGGTGTCAGGTTCAAAGGCAAACAATACCCATGACTCCCTGGGCCCCAAAGGGAAGTATCCTAAGGTGGGTACAGAAGACCGCTCTTGTCTGCTGAACCCCGGGCTTGCTCCAGTCCCTTGGCCTCTGAGCAAGGACACCGAGAGCCACTCAGACTGGTGACAGGGCTTAGCCAGGTCCTCCTTGGCCTCTCTGAGCCACTAGACTGAAGAGCAATAGAGTCCTCATTAAGATGAGCGGGAGGCACTCCGCGAACTACTAGGCAGCACTCCAATCCCAGGCATTGTTTCTACCCCTCCATCGGACTCTTGTAAGATGTGCCACCACGGGCGAAGAGGTTGTTTGTTACACATCAAAGTGATGGTGGGTCTCGCAAATCAGTGAATCCCTGCCAATCTGCAGAGTTCCTGTTACAGGTATAATAAATGTGCCCGGCATTCGGAGGGGACATTTTGAAAAGAAAGACACAGAGAAGCGCATCTGCCATTTCCCCAAGGATTGCTTCCTGAGCACCAGCTGTCACCTGGCCCTTTCATCCTTGAGCCTCCAAACACCATGCACAGCACCGGAGGCAGACACCAGAGTCCCCGCCCCTGTCCCTCCAGCAACAGGAGCACCTAGTTAAAAGGCTGTACTTTGCAAACTCCCTTGTAGCCAAATGTGACAAATCAAGGTGTCTGCAGGGCTGACTCTTGCTGGAGGCTCCAGGGAGAAGACTTTCCTTGCTCTTTCCAGCTTCTAGAGGGCACTGCATTCCTTGGCTCATGGCCCCCTTTCCCCACCTTCAAGTTCAGCAGCTTCCAGGGTCCAGTCTCCTCTCTGTCTCTCACTCTCCTGCTTCCGTCTTACAAGGACCCTTGTGATGACATTGGGCCCACCTGGACAATCCAGGACAATCTCCCCATCCCAGGGTTCCTAGCTTCATCTCATCTGCAAAGTCCCTTCTGCCCTGTGAGGTGACACATTCACAGGGTCCAGGGACTAGGGCATGCACAGCAATGGGAGCAACTGTGCTTTTCATCCCAGACCCACTACACCACTGTCCCTCTGGCCTCACCCATGCAGATGACTTCCTTTGGGAACTGTCCACTCTGTGCCGCTCCTCACCCCACCCACCCTACACCAGCTAGAGAGGAGAGGACGGAGGGGAGCTGGAGTTCCAGAGGCCTGACCCCATCCGTGTGGGGTTCCTGAGCCCCTGCAGCTGCTCCATCCCTGGACACATCGGGTACATGAACGAACAAGTCCACTTTTTAATGTAAGTCGGGTTGGGTTTCCATCACCTTTACCTGCGAGCCCGCCGCAGCCCCGGGGCTGCGGTCAGAGGGGGCTCCGCCCTCGGAAGGCCGGCACTGGGCACTGAGGACCGAGGAGCCTGGGGGGGCCAGGCCCCAGCTCTGCCTAGGAGATTCGGGAGACATGCAGCCCCTGCCCTGGCTGCTCAGGCCATCTCTGCTGGGGAGGCCGGAAAGAAAGCAGAGGGCAGGCAGGGCAGCCCGAGCAATCACCATCTGCCCCGAGTGGGGCATTTGGCACTTCCGCAGTCCTCGTGAGTGGAACATAAAGGCCCTGCCTGTTAGCGTGGGATGTTATTCAGTCACAAACAGAAATGAAGCACCGATACATGCCAAAACTCGGATTAGCGTCGAAAAGAGGTGCCCCATCGCCGCGGACTAGCCCCCGCCGGCTGCGGCCCCTTTAAGACGCCCTCGGAGGACCCAGTTTCAAAGCCCAGGGCGACCCTCTGGCTGCCGCCTCGATGGTGCGCCGTCATTTCCGGCCGGAAGTGCGTGTGCAGAGCGGCTTCGGCGCAGGGGGCGGGGAGTGAGGAGAGGCGCGTGGTTCTTCGTGTCTGAGAGCGGGGGGCTCCTCGCTTCGGACTGGTGGTCGACCCCGGCTTGCGGGGTGACGCGGGGGTCTCCGCTGTCACCGGCTCCAGCCTCAGCAGCAGGGCCCCGGACAGGGGAGGCGGAGGGGGCCTGGGCCGAACTCAGGCTCCGACGCCGGGGCGGGGCTGCGGCAGGTGCGGCTGCTGCCCGACGAGCCTGGGCGGCCGGGCGGCCGGGGCCGGCGCGAGGGTCTGGGGAGCGCGTAGATGGCGGATGAGACTCCTCTGCCCGGAGCACGTTGTGTGACTCTTTCCCCAGGGTTTCCTCAGGAATCGAGAACTGTCCAGCCCTCGGCGATTAGAAGCGGGCAGGCAGCGGTTGGCCATTTCCTCCCGGTCGGTGAGAGCGCTCAGAGCGCGCTCAGTTTGGGGGGTCCAGGTACGTCAGGCACCGAGACGCAGACTCTTAAGGCCGATGGTCTGGGGAAAGGCTCCTGTGTTGCTGAACCTGCCCGGCTGTGGGTGCAGCCTTGTACCAGGCAGCCCGACCCTGACCTAGAGTAAATTCCCGGGAGCAGTTTTTCCTGGGGTTTGAATTTGCAGTAACAGGTGTGAACATTCTAGCAGCAGTTTGATGATCATGTATGATACTGCAAACAGGACCCGCGCTGAAAAGGAAACCCTCAGTTAGTACCGGGGAGCAGTGGCTTCCGAAAACCTGGAAACAGTTGACCTCATAAATATCGATTGATACTTGGGCCGTGCACCGTGCTGAATGCTAGTGGGTGCAGAGGTGAACAGGACAGCCCAGGCCCTTGTTCTCAGGGAGCTAAAGCCCCTTGAGGAGATGAGATCAAATGATTGCATTAAAGAGGGTGTAATTCAAGCTGAGGCTGAAACTCTGAAGGAAAGCACATTCCTGTTAGCAACATTGCGGGGAGCGTGATGGAGGCTTTCCTGAGGATGGGATCCTTGAGCTGGACTCTGAAGGATGAGTGGGAGTTCTGTGGAAGGCCAGGGGGGTGGCTTGTGCTAAAGGTCCAGCGACCTAGCAAGTGTGGCCAGTGGAGGACTTGGAAGAAGACCATTGTAACCCAAAAAGCAAGGGGTGAAGTTGAAAAGGTGGAGAAGGGCCAGACGGCACAGGCACAGGACCTGTGGCTCACGCAAGCATTTTGGTCTTCCCTAAGAATGCAGGGGTCATTCTGGGTTTTAAACAAGAGGACGATGTGCTGAAATCTGTAATTTCAAGACAACAGTATGTACAGAACAGTGCCTTCCAGTGGAACTCCCAGCAGTGTTGGAAATTGTCTATATCTGCACTGTTTGTTAGCGTTCCACAGTCCACACGTGGCTGTTGAGCACTTGGCAGTGTGGCTGGTGCTACGGAGGAAGTGGATTTTTCATTTTACTTTAAATGTAAATAACCACGTGTGGCCGGTGGCCACCGTGTTGGAGAGCACAGGCCTAGTGTGTATTGGAGGCCCAGGAGCACCTTTATTGGAATCACGCCACCCGGAGACTCTTACACTCTTGCACCTCATCCCCTCCCAGGTAAAGGCTGAGAGGAAGTCTGCTTTTTGAGAACCCTCCCATTTTCTGAGGAGTTCACACATAGCAGTGCCTTTATGTTGTTGGCTGGAGGGCAGCCTGCTCCTGGTGAAGTGGCTCCCTCCCGTCATCAGCACACGGATGGAAGATGGAAGAGCGCCTGCCGTGGTCAGAGCATGCTCTCTGTGCTGGGGAGGGGGACGGAGGGGAAGGAAAAGCAGTCGCTGGTGTTAAGGTGGGCGGGGGGGTGCTTAGAATCTAGAGAGGTGGGCATCGTAAGTGCTATGGAGCCACAGGAAGGGACATACTCAGTAGGACCTAATGGAATGTGACCCCCCTGAGGACATAAAGGCTGTTTCCAGCTGGTGACACGTGGCAAAGGGCAGGAGGGGTGGAAATGCCTGAGGGTGTGGGCAGCTCGTGAGTTGGGGCCAAACTGGAGAACCATGTGGCTGGAAGCAGGGAAGAAGATGTAGGAATACACAGGCTGGTGTGGGGTTTCAGGGCTAGCTTCATTGTGGCTTCCGTGCAGGCAGGTTTCTGAGGAAGGCCCCAGGCGGTGTGCGGATTACAGCCCGGGGCGGCGGGGTAGGTAGGAGATCACTGTGGTTGCCTCCACGGAGAAGGTGGCCAGTCCTCCATGGAGTCTGCGGACCTGGAAGGAGGAGGGGCTGATAGAGGTGGGGTCACTGCAGGGCACCTTCCATGTTGTATTCTGGGTGGTAGTTACTAGATCTTGGAGGGTATTTTATGTTGCTAACAGACTTGCTAAGGTAGAGTGAAAACATAAAGGTGTACTTTCTTTGCAGGTGAGTTCACGGGAAGATCTGCGTGCGGGATGAATGCGTGCTGGTTTCTTTTCTGCCTGGTTCCGTGTACCCGAAGTGTAATTGTTGGGGGCTTGGAACTTTCCGGGTTTCTTTGGTTTCATTTACTCAACCATGTAACTTCTGAATGCTGACCTGCTTAAGACCCTGTTTTGTATGGATATAAATAAAAGGGGTCCGTCCCCAAGGAGACTTTTTCATGCACTTCATGGTTTCCGTCCCCAGGGACCTGTGTGCGGTGAGTCACCTCTGCTGCTGAGATGTGTGGTTGGCAGCACGGTTCCCAGCTGACGAGACTGAGCCGCTGGCGCTTCTCTGTAGGGAGTGTGAGCAGTGGGGGCACGTGGAGGGAGGTGACCATTGTCTCTGCGATCTAAGAGGAAGAGGGTGGCTGGTGTCGTTCAGGGTGGTGTTCACCTTGTGCAGACTTCCCTTTGAATAGAATTTCCCGGAAAGTGGCTGCTGGCCTCAGAACTGGTTGCCAGTAGCTGCCGGGCACTGCCCACCTCTGCTTCCTCACCTGGGTCTCTAGCCCCATGCGGGGGCTGTCCAGAGAATTCTCCCAGGCCTTCCTATCTTTTGAATGTTCGCCGCGTATTGATGTGAGAAAAGGAAAAACCACATCAGTGGTGGTTCCTCTATTTCACGCTGTCTTCGTGTGACAGGGTATGACACTTATGTTTTTACATGGCCTAAAAAGGTTATCCGGATCTTCAGACCTAGTCGTGCCACACCCAGGGTTCCTGCCTGACCTCCTTGCTTGTGTCTGTGTTTTTCACATACTTAGTGAATCTCTTGACTTAACATCCTCTGGCCCAACCCTCCTCTTGTCCAGCTCAACTCCCAGGAGAGTCTGGCCCTCGAGTGCCTGCAGAGCCAAGAATGTAACTTCAAACCTTGCCAGGGAGGCTGTTGGTGGGCTTTGTAACAGACCCATAGTCCGAGAGACTGCCGCTGTGGAGGGCGGGCATGGCCACCCCAGGAGACGGTGGCTCACGTGTCAGCCCTGAAGGGCAGACGTACCCACACTGTCTGCACCCGAGGGGTTAGCGTGGGGCTTTCACATCCCAGCTCCACCCCTGGCCTGCTGGGTGACCTCAGGCAGGCCACTTCCCTATTTCTTAGGAAAACGGGGACCATGATGACGGTGACTCCCAAAGGTGGGCGCTTGTGAGGAGTCAGCAAATCATGTGACATGCTCGGGAGCACTTCAGACCCGTGAGCTGGCTGCTGCCCATTCTTGGATTTTTAGGGCACTTCATGGTGTCTCTGGCTGCGAGTTTCCAGGACGCTGCCGTGTGGCGGGTCCTGGGGTACAAGGTGCTGTCGGCCACAGGAGGGTCCTGCCTGCTACCGGGAGCTGAGGTGGGTTTGCTATAGGCTCTTGGCTTTTTCACTCTGTCCCATGTTCACGTTTGGGCCTCTCATGAGAGCACGTAAGTCTCAGTGTGGGCCCTGCCCTCTATGTGCTTGTCTTTAGAGAAAGTGTAATCATTGCCCAAATTAACATGTTGTGTCCGGATACGGATACTGGGGGAAATTGTACGTATTGGTATTTCTGGAAGAAACAGGTTGGAGCCTGTTCAGGGCTTTGTTCTCTGCGGTGTTTCTCTTGAGTGTAAACGTCCATCTGGGCACAGCGGCTGTGGGCAGGGCCTTGTCTGGCCTTGGTGTGTGTCAAGGAGCAGCGGTGGGGCTCTGTGTCTGCAGACTTCGCTCAGTGAGTTGATTCAGCCTTTGGTTCGATAGATTAACCAGAAGCATTAGCTCCTGGGCCCCCCTGAGCAGGAACATCGTGTTTCTAGCACGGAACATGATGACATGGGAGTGCTTCATATTGATAGAGTCGTTTGTGATGTGCAGGTACCTCTTTCTCATTCTCATTTGGCATTGGCGTCAATGGAGGAGGGTGCCTGGGTGTCCCCGGTGCATCCACACGGCTCGGTCTGAGACCTCTCAGGGTGGGAGAGCCTGCCGAGAATGGGAAGGATGGATGGGGAGAGACTGCTCTGATGCTGAGGGGGGCGTGGGCTGAGATCCTGCAGTCTTCCCTGGCAGCCCCTATCCCCTCCAGATGCTGCTCCAATGTGGGTGCTTAACCTTGAACCTCTGCCCCTTTCCTCTGGGGCCGCACCCCAAGACAACAGCCTCCATCCATCCTGCACCCTGATGCAGTGTGCTGGGTGCTGTCAGTGACGGGAGGGAAGCCCAGAACCCACAGGAAGGGCTCGGGATTGCATTCGGCTGAGGCCATACCTGAGAATATTCCCCAGCTGTCTCCTCAGTCATTCGGTTCCAGCTGGCCTGGGCGCGGCGATGGTGTGCTTGCTCCCCCGAAAGAACATGTATCTAAAATAGACTGCGATATGACGTGGATGGGCTTCAGCATTTGTGGGTTTTGTTCCTCTGGATTATGTAAGAGAGGGTTGAGGTAGGCAGGAGCCCAGTATTTTCAAAGAGCTGGGCCTTTTTTTTTTTATTTGCGAGAGAGAGAGAGAGAGAGAGAGAGTACACGAGAGGGGGGAGGGTTAGAGGGAGAAGCAGGCTCCTCGCCGAGCAGGGAGCCCGATGCGGGACTCGATCCAGGGACTCCAGGATCATGACCCGAGCCGAAGGCAGTCGCTCAACCAACTGAGCCACCCAGGCGCCCTGGGCCTGTTAATAATAGCAGTGGATAGTGAAATGCACAGTCTGTAAGAAGTAATTTTTTTAATGTTAAAAATGGCCGTGGAGGGCGCCTGAGTGGCTCAGTCATTAAGCGTCTGCCTTCGGCTCAGGTCATGATCCCAGGGTCCTGGGATCGAGTCCCACATCGGGCTCCCTGCTCGGCAGGAAGCCTGCTTCTCCCTCTCCCACTCCCCCTGCTTGTGTTCCTGCTCTCGCTGTCTCTCCCTCTGTCAAATAAATAAATAAAATCTTAAAAAAAAAAAAATGGCCGTGGAACACAAAAGGCCTGTTGCTGAAAACAGAATGAAATTCGAACTAAAACAGTTACAGCACGGCACGGTTTTGAACTTCTCCCTTTGTCCACTAGAGGACGCAATCCTGATGAGCCACCCTG